GGCACTGGGATCCAAAGGGGATGGGCAACTGGCAACCAGGATGTGGGAGAGAAACAGACTGGCTGAAAGCCCAAGAGGGAGGGAACTGGAACTGGCTAGACAAGGAGACTGGGATTAGAGGAGGACACTGGGACTGGGTGTCTGAAGAGGAGACAGGCTGGGATGAAAACCTGAGGAGCAGAGACTGGGACTGGTTAGGTGAGGAGAATAGGATTGGGATGAGGAGCCAAAATGGGGAAGAGACAGGAAGGACAGAATGTAAGGGATAGATCAGAAGGGGTCACAGTTTGGAGCAGGGAGAGGGAAATAAACAGAAGAGACTATGCCCACTAGAACACACTCCTCTCCATAACTTGGAATGGGACCCAAGATTCTTGCATCTCACCAGTCCTCTGCAGTCAGCAAACAACTGTGAGATCTACTGGCAAAAAGCATGTCTCATCCCCCTCTAGCACTAGTCCACATTGATGATGACACCTAATACTGCTATCATTTATTCTATTAGCACAAGTGGCAGAGGTCTGTGTGGTTGATCTAAAGGTTCCAACCCTACTGATGACTCATGTCGGTGTCTATATGCCACCAAATGATGAAATTCTTGTTTTTTCAATTTTTTTTTAAAAATCCTAGGAAATTAGATAATACACACATTTTTAAGGTTACAAACTCAAGTTAGAAAATGCCAGAAAATTAATGTTGCCTGTGAAACTTTAATTCAGCCTCCTTGTGTATATGCATTGTGAAACAGTTTTTAACTATATGATCATATACCGTTTTATCCACAGAACCTCCATCTCATTCAGTGCATAGGACGAATGGTGCTTGCTTAACTATTTGATATTTTGTTTTTTCCACACTGTTCTATTTGTGGCTCCATACCTTCTTTATCGCATATTATTCAAACCCTGCTCTAAAAACAAATTTATCAGATTCCTCATGGGCTTTCATCATTACAGTATCTGAGTGCTTCATGAACATTAATAAATTTATTTTTACAACAGCCCTTTGAAGTGAGGGGTTATTATTATCCCCTTTTTACAGATGAGGAACTGAGGCACAAAGAGATCAAGGTCAAAAGTATCCACTAAATTTGGGTGCCCATTCTGATTTTTGAGGATTATTTAGCACTATATATGTTCGAAGCACAGTTTCCATTGACTTCAACTGCAGCTGTCAACACTTCTGCAAATCAGACCCCAGGATCTCAAGTCAGGCACCCAGAAAATGAGAAACACACAATTAGTAACCATTTATACTGTAAAAAGGACCCTCTGTTGGTTTAAGTGAGTTGCTTAGCATTACACAGAAACTCTGTAGCAAAGGAAGGGATAGAATCCAATTCTCCAGGGCAACATTCATCTGCTTTAACCATGAGACACCATTTTTTCTCTTCTTACAAACCTTTGCCTCATTTGTTACACATGTTCCAAATTGTGCAACAAATGAAGATGGGATCCTACAAGACAAGAGTTTAACTTTCCTGCTCAACCTTGATTTATCCCCAGAGCAGATTTATCCTATGCACTGAATGAGGCTGGGGGTCCTGTGGAAAAATAGTATGTGATCATGTAATTAAAGATTGTATCATAATGCATATGCACAAGGGTCTGAATTAAGGCTGTACAGCCAATCTTAACTCCGGCATTTCCTAACCTGTGAGTGCTTGACTTCGTAACCTTAATAATGTTCTGTTAGTAGACGAGTTTGGGTGTGTGCTTGTCTCCCTGTACTTGCGCACAACCACATATAATATGTATGTGTATATAATGCATATGTATCACTTTTTTTACATGATGTATAGTAAACATTAGTACAGATACATTATAAACATTCAGATATAGTATGCATTATCTATATTTCTTTATTGTATTAGATTGTATTGTACTGTCCATCTTGCGATCAAACTGGAAAGAGATGTGCAGTTTTTTGAATGGTCTACCGTAAATCATCTACATTTCTTTTCTTTATAGTATTGGTATATCCCATGGTCAAACTGGAAACAGATCTGCAGGCTTTAGAACCATTCTAGCATAAATTAAGTTATATTTTGCTTTGGCACTAGCTCCCCCTCCAGACCAGCCTAACAATACTGTAATTACTTCTTATTTTAAACTCTGACTATACAAAAGATTTAAGTACTCAAATTCAACTATTTCTTTCAGAAGATATCACTGAATCCCTGAAATTATGCTGAAAAGAATGATCACAAAATTAATATCCAAAATCCATAAACAAGACTTTGAAATTCATTCAATCTAAAATATAACGGGTAAGCAGGGCACTCATTTATACAGCTACAATAGGTCTGAACAGATCAAAACTTTCCTTAATCTGATGGGTATTTCAGGAACTGTCTAAAATATTTATCATCAACACAATTCCATTATGCATTCAAACTAATCTTTTTGTTTGCAAACTTAATACAGTGATCATAAACAATTAAAATTAGTTACAGAAACTAGTAAAACCCTATGGATCTTAGGTTTCAGAGTGGTAGCCGTGTTAGTCTGTATCAGCAAAAACAACGAGGAGTCCTTGTGGCACCTTAGAGACTAACAAATTTATTTGGGCATAAGCTTTCATGGGCTAGAACCCATTTCATCAGATGCAACTGATGCCCATGAAAGCTTATGCCCAAATAAATTTGTTAGTCTCTAAGGTGCCACAAGGATTCCTCATTGTTTCTATGGATCTTAGTATCCTTGCTGATTTTAATTAATTAATCCATTTGTTCTTGAGCAAGTATAAAGATGTTTTACACCTGTTCTTGTAATCATAAAGTTTCCTTTCAGTTGCTTAGCTAATTTACTCAGACAAGATTCTAAACAAAGCAAGCAACAAGAGAAAAAGCAGTTACAACTTTAAGACCCCTTACATTTTTAAGCTGTCAGATACACATCTCCAGTTGTCTGTGTCTGAGATACTGAACTTGTGCAATTCAGCATTCCAGTGTCTGCTTACTTTATCCTCATTATTGAATAGCTTGCTCAGAAATATGAATAATTAATTACACTTTACACATGGAAAAATTGGTTGGTTTATTGTGTGTATTTGGGGGAGAACAGCAAAACACTGCTTCGCTGAACAATGCAGAATGATTTCATCTTGAAATTATTTTAGGCAAGTGCTCAGACAACTTTGGCAGTGTACAAGCTTGTACAGCTGCAGCATCCAAGCAAATACAGATTATTAAAAATACAAGACTGTGATTCAAATTGTAGTCACCTATATAAATATTGTTGATTGTGAACTTTAATACATGTAAAAAGATTACTGTAAAATCTGTTTTTAGTGACCACACAGGGAACCAGCAAATATCAACTGCCTTTATAGTTGCCCATACAGTTTACAACTTTGAGTTTTTCGTTACTTAAGATAAGGATGATTTTCAAAAAATGGACCTGATAATATTGTGAAACCCAAGAACCACCTCACTTCTAAATGGCCATTTTGAAGTATCCCCTTGACCGTTAGACAATGCCTAGAAACTGATAGAAAATTATTTAAAATGCCACTGTAACACACCAACTAAACATGATTGTAAATTGTAATATAAGCAGAACACAAGTATGTTCCCAGACATACATTTATTATTATATAATGTCTGTATTGGAGTAGCATCAACAGGGTAGCATGGGCAAGCCATGGCCCCACTCTACTCTGTGCTGTACACGCATAGGCTTGGTCTACACATGAGAGTTATATGGGCATAGTCAGTCAGGGTGTAAAAAAAAAACAAAAAAACCCATACCCCTGACATAGTTATGCCAACATAACTCCCAATGTAGACATAGCTATATTAACAGAAGAGTGCTTGACATAGCTCACGTTGTTTAGGATGGTGGTGTTCCTACGACGACAGAAAAATCCCTCTGTCAGCATAAGTTGTGTCAACACTATAAGGCTATACTGACATAGCTATGTCATTATAATCTCCATAGTGTAGACAAACCCAAAAACAGTCTCTGTCTCAAAGAGTTTACAGTCTAAGGCCCAATCCTACAACATATAGCATATGTCTGGACCTCTGCACTCAAGTGCTATATATGTTATCTAAATAATGAGACAACAAGGTGATATAAAACAAACAAACAGTTGTGTGAGAGCACAAGGCAACAAGTAAGATAACTGGAGTAATAAGTTGTAGGTAATATGACTACCCTAGTCTCCTTTCCCCTAACCTCTGTTTACTGGTCTGTCCTTACATTGTGTTTTTTTTAAACAAGGCCCATCCTTTCTGAGTGTTTGGAAAGCAACTAGCACACAGCGGGTGCTGCCATAAACAGTCAACTGCCATGGCATCCCTAGAATTAAACATGCCTAGGAACAAGCACCAGTGCCTTGTCTAGACTACAACTCCTGTAAATTAATACGAGGTGGAACATGGTTAAAGATCCTCGTGTGGGCAAGCGCCCGGCAGTAACTGACTTCGGAGCGGATTCGTGGGGCAGTCACTCCTCTGGGTTCCCAGGGCCCTTCACGTTAAGGGAACTCATGGGAGATCCACTCCCACCACCAGCATTTTCTGCTCGTCATTTCACCCTACAGAGACGGACAGTAGGGCCGGGGCATCTGCCGGGTGAGTGAAGTTTGCCGCCACCTCTTCACTCGCGGCGGCTGCGGCGCGCAGGACAACAGCAGCGCTCCCCTCCCCGCACCCCGCGGCAGCCCGGCCCCCGGAGCGCCGCCTCCGCCCGCGGACCCCGCTCCGCACTCCCCCTGCGACCCGCTGCTGGGCTGCGGGAACTCGGGACTCGCACGCGGCTCCCCGTGCTCTGGCCATCGGCCCCTCCGCCCCCGGGGTTCAGCAGCCCCCTGCTCCCGAGCGGCTCAGGCCCCGGCCCGTGCCACCGCGCGGGGAGCCTGGCACCCGGCGGGGGTCGCTCTCCCCTTCCCCCACCGCCGGCAGTCGCTCGAGTCTCCGCAGCCCAGGCCCGGGGAGGGATGGGGAGCTGCAGCTGGAGCAGCCCCGAATCGGCTCCTCACCCGGACCCCCTTACCTGAGTAGCAGCACCGCCCGCCCGCGGGCTCCCCTCCTGCTGCGGGTGCCGGCTCTGAGGAGGCGCCGGCGCGCGGATGCGGGTGCGGGGGGGGTGAAAATACGGAAACAGGAACCTGCCGTCGCTTAACGGAGCCTCCGACTGACTGAGCGAGGGGGCGCGAGACACAGCGCGGAGCGCGCGTCAGGGAGCGGGAGCGCGCTCCAGGAGTAAGAGTGCTGAGCGGGTGCGCGCACCAGAGCCTGGCAGCCTGTGAGCGCGCTCAATTGGCAAACGGCGCTTCTCGTGTTGGGGAGGGATTCGGTTAAGCTGGGCAGACAGCGCTAGCCGCTGGCAGTGCGCATGCGCCATCCATGACGCTCTTGCGACTGGCCCAGACTCAGCGAGCCGTGCTTGGCGGTGTTCGGCGCTGGCTCGCACAGCGCGGCCGCGGCTGCCCGGCGGAGACAGGCTGGATCCCCGCGAGGCTGTGCCTGGGGCACGGCTTGACTGAGCACCGGCCCTCGGGGCATCTCCCCAGCGCTGCGCACCCGGGAGCCGCCCGCCAGGGCTTTCGCCCCGCGTACAGGGCGGAGAGGGGCAGCTGCCGGAGCAGAGCTCGCTGAGCGAGGGTCTGATAGCGGCCTCAGCCTGCCGGGCTGGGACCCCTGCCACGGGTATGTGACTGCAGCGGACACAGGCTCGGAGGCGTGGCTGAGTCATAGAATATCAGGGTTGGAAGGGACCTCAGGAGGTCATCTAGTCCAACCCCCTGCTCAAAGCAGGACCAATCCCCAGACAGATTTTTGCCCCAAAAATTGTTTCCCACAGCCCGCAAAGCTGCCAGGTGCTGCAGTTTTTGACTGGAGCCTGGTAGAGCAGGAGGGAGGGGAAGGGAGGACTTTTCAGGAACGTGAGGGTGTGTGCATCCTGCCATCTAGGGTTGCCAGTTTTTGTTGGCCCTATTCCTGAAGCTTTCATCACATGACAATCTTTAATTAAAGATTCATCTAATTCCTTGAGATTCCAGGACAATTCCTGGAAGGTTGGCAATCCTAGTGCCATCCCAGGCAGCAGGAGCAGTGCGGGGAAGGGCAGCCCATCACCTATTGTTTGGATTGTATCTCCTGTGAAACCTGCAATTTTTTTCAGATACGTTTAGTTTGCCTGCAGGAGGTGGATGTGTAAGTTCTCTTCCTTCCCCAAAATAACCTTAGTTGCACCTTCAGCAACAGTTTGTGGTCCAACAGTCACTTCCAATTACCTCTTTATTAGAAAGTTGGGATCCTAGGTTAGTTTCTACAATAGAAATTGAGTGTTAGAGGGGTGAGAATGACAAAAAATACTTTCTGGGGTCCCATCTGGAACAAAAACAACTAATTTGCCCTTCAGTTGATGGGGCATGCTGTTCATTCCCAAATTTGATAGTCAGCTGAGGGGGGATATAATAGAGGTCTATTCAGTCATGAATGGTGTGGAAAAAGCTAATAGAGAAGTGTTATTTATCCTTTCACAAAATACAAAAACCAGAGGGTTCCTGATGACATTAAGAGGCAGTAGGCTGAATACAAACACAAGGAAATACTTATTTGCACAATGCACAATTAACCTGTGGAACTCATTGCCATAGGATGATGTCATGGTCAAAAATATAACTGCATTCAAAAAGAACTAGATAAATTAATCCGGCTATTAGCCAAGATAGTCAGGGATGCAACCCCATGTTTGGGACAACCCTAAACCTCTGACTGCCAGAAGCAGGAAGGGGAAGACTAGTGGATCGCTCCAACTACCCTGTTCTGTACAGTCTCCCTGAAGCTCTGGTACCAGCTACTGTTGGATAACAGGCTAGATTGACCATTGGTCTGATAAAATGTGGCAGGTACTTATAATCAATTTTTTGTGACAGTTGCAAATTATTCAGATTACAAATAAAGGTAAACTACACTTGGTGTTCGCTTGATAATTGCGTGGACATATCACACTACTATGGTAACACAGTTGGTTCAAATAGTCTTCCACCGCTGTCCCACAGTGCACAAATCATTGTAGAAGAATTTCTAGTTTGTATTCAACTGTCAACTTGCCCAGAGGTCTTAATAGTTGGATTCACTGGGGAAGCTATCAGTTCTACGCTCTTCTTCCTTCTCCCACATCCCCAATAAAATTGAACAAAGGCCTTATCTGCACTAGAGAAGTCAATCAGCAGTATAGCAACTCATTGTTACACCACTGCTTGATAATGTCATGTTGCACCAGTTTAAAGACCTCATTTTTTCCTACATCCACCCTAGTGTTATGTGCATTAATGGAGGTGCAGTGCCCTCTAGAAATATATTCTAAAGTTCTCATTACTGCTCCTTGGAGCAGTACATTCTTACTACAGTAGGTTGGGCTGCAGATTTATTATGGCATTTTTAAACAAGAATCATGAAGCAGTCAGAGTAAATTTAATCAAAGTCACAGATTTAGGTCAAAACTGGGTAAAGTCATGGGGTTAGGGGTTTGAGGCCCTGGGAGAGGGCTGGAGAGTGAGCCCACATTGCACTGACCTTGGGCAGCAGGAGCTCCTAAGTCCCCTAGGGCTGAGCCCAGAGGTTGAGAGCAAGACCGCCCCGTGCTCACCCTGGGAAGCGGTAGCTTCTATGTCCCACGAGGCTGGGCTCAGAGGTTGAGAGCAAACATGTCTTGCATTCACCCTGGGCAGCAACAGCTCCTTGCCATATCGCAATACCACTCACTCAAATTTGGCCTGGCCGCCACCCTGTCATGATGGAGGGACAACCAGGCCAAACCTGAGAGGATCCATGACCTCATGCACTAAGTCACAACTCCGGGAGCAGGGAGCCAGGCCCAACCCCACAGGACAGGAGCTTCTGTTGTGGGGTGGGCTTGGTCTTCAGCACCCCTCCCAGGCTCTGCCCTCCACCTAAGTGCTTTATTAAAATCATGGACAGAGAGAAAAGTCACAGATTGAGAAATCATGGTATCCGTAACTTTTCCATCACCACAAAAACCCGTAGCCCCAACAAAAGGCAGTGTGGGAAGAAGGGTCACACTCCCACTATATGCTGGTAAATGTACATAGTTCTCCAATGGATGTCCTCATGGGTCAGTGGGTGCTGCCGTTTTTACAACACCAAGATCAGTTGGAACATTCATATCCTGGTAAGAGAAGTTGCCTGTTAAGAGATGTCCATAATGGAGTTTTAAAAAATGCAAGACAGCTATCAAGTGGTGGTAAATGATTTTCTGGGCCTTCATGATAAGTGCTGGAAAGCATTAGAAGTGGTGCACAGACATCAGTGAAATGCTTGTTTGAGCTGCTAGTCTGGTGGACCCTCTGCTTCCCTGGCCACAAAACCATATCCTGGAAATACAGATAGAGGTAGATGAACATTCAGTTACACTCTGAGCAAATGCAGCATGGCAGTAGAATGCACTTTAATATAATAAATCCAAAAACTGATAAATATTCCCACATCAAAACTTATTGAAAGATATACACATCACTTTTTCAAAATATTCTGCAATATATAATGCATATATTCACTTCTTCCTGGTGGGAAATTAAATGGCAGAAACAGGGAGGATGTGTACATGAAGAGGGAATTCCAGTATGAGTCAGTTTCTGTATTTTGTAATGCAGGATACTGGGCAAGAGAAGGGATTAGCAAGGGATATATACTCTCTGTAAGCCTATTGTATAGCTCCATATAGTCCCAGAACAGTAAGACTCTAAGCACCTAGTGCAGGTCAATCTCTTGTTTCATGTATCTCTCCATAGATGCCTAGTCCTAACTAACTTAGTATGTAATTTATCACTGAAATCAGCCACTGTACCAGGCAACTGGAAGGTAGATAATGTAATGCTGAATTTTAAAAAGAGCTCCAGAGGAGATTCTGGCAATTACAGGCCCTTGAGACTGTACTGGGTAAATTGGTAAAAACTATAGTAAAGAATAGAATTATCAGACACGTAGATAAACACAATTGTTGGGTAAGAGTCAACACAGCTTTTGGAAAGGGAAATCATACCTCACCAATCTATTAGAATTATTTGAAGGAGTCATCAAGCCTGGGAATAAGAGTGATCCAGTGGATACATTCTACTTGGAGTTTCAGAAAGCATTTGACAAGGTCCTGCACCAAAGGCTTCTAAGGAAACTAAGTACCTATGGGGTAAGAGGGAAGGTCCTCTCATGGATCAGTAACTGGTTGAAAGATAGGAGACAAAGGGTAGGAATAACTGTTCAGTTTTCACAATGGAGAGAGGTGAACAGTGGGGTTCCCCAAGAATCTATACTGGAACATGTACTGCTCAACACATTCATTAATGATTTGGAAAAGGCAGTAAACAGTGAAGTGAAAGTTTGCAGACAATACAAAATTACTCAAAATAGTTAAGTCCAAAACAGACTGTGACGAGTTACAGAGGGATCTCACAAAACTGGATGACTGGGCAACAAAATGGCAGATGAAATTCAGCACTGATAAATGCAAAGTAATGCACATTGGAAAAAATAATCCCAATTGTACATATACAATGACGAGGTCTAAATTAGCTGTTATCACTGAAGAAAGATTGTGGAGTCATCATGGGTAGTACTCTGAAAACTTCTGCTCAATGCACAGCACGTGTCAAAAAGGCTAACACTATGGTAGAAACTATTAGGAAAGGGATAGAAAATATCATAATGCCACTATATAAATCCATGATGCGCCCATTACCTTGAATACTATGTCCAGTTCTGGTCACCCATCTCAAAAATGATATAGTGGAACTGGAAAAGGTTCAGAGAAGGGCAACAAAGGTGATCAAGGTTACGGAATGACTTCCATAGGAGGAGAGACTAAAAAGATTAGGGCTGTTCACATTTAAAAAATAAATAACTAAGGGGGGATATGTTAAAAGTCTATAAAATCATGAATGGTGCAGGAAAAGTGTTACTTATGCTTTCACACAATATAAACAACAGGTGACCCAATGAAATGAATAGGCAACAGGTTGAATGCAAACAAGAGGATGTACTTTTTCACACAATGCACAGTTAACATGTGGAACTCATTGCCATGGGATGTTGTGATCGCCAAAAGTATAACT